GTAGGATCGGCTGCGCAGACAAAAAGAGGTGCAAGAAGCGACCTCAATAGAGTATCAAATGTATGCGATTTCAGGTGTTCTCAGCATCAAGTATCCTATAGAGCATGGGATTGTAACGAACTGGGATGACATGGAACGAATCTGGCAGCATGTCTTCAGCAATGAACTGCGTGTGACACCCAGCTCACATGCTGTGCTCCTCACCGAACCACCGCTGAATCCTCGGTCCAATCGGGAACGAATGACCCAAATTATGTTCGAATCCTTCCAAGTTCCTGCGATGTATGTGGCTATACAGGCCGTGCTGTCACTGTATGCATCCGGCAGAACAACCGGAGTAGTGATCGACTCTGGCGATGGCGTTACTCATACTGTGCCCACTTATGAGGTGAGTTTTGGAGAGGAGTGATAAGGAATGATGAGTTATTTTAGGGATACTCCTTGCCTCATGCGGTGTTCCGGCTTGATCTTGCTGGGAGAGACTTAACTGATTATCTTATAAAAATTCTCACCGGGCGTGGGTACTCGTTCACTACAACGGCAGAGCGGGAAATTGCTAGAGATATAAAGGTTGGGAATGTTAATGAATCCAAGATTGTGCGAGTGAAGTAGCCCTTATCCAGGAAAAACTTTGCTATGTTGCACTAGACTACGAACAAGAGACTGTTAACGCCGAGCACGCTATGGGATCTATTGAAAAGAACTATGAATTACCTGATGGCCAAGAAATTACGATAGGCTCGGAGCGATTCCGCGCTCCTGAAGTACTGTTTCAGGTAGGTTCCCATAATTGTCACTCTACGCAAATAATGATCTGTTTTCAGCCGCACGTGTTGGGTAAAGAATCTAGCGGAGTACATGAGAATTGCTATAATTCAGTGATGAAATGCGATATCGACATACGCAAAGATCTTTACATGAACATTGTACTGTCTGGTGGCACTACCATGTTCCCAGGAATAACTGACCGCATTAAGAAAGAGCTCACTTCATTAGCTCCTAGGTTCGCACGCGTTCCACCTGCATACCTCTTTG